TTCGAACTCGCTTGACGAAGCCACAGTGAAGACAACCCAGCGGTAGACTGCGGATCAGTTGGATAGATTCGTAGGCAGAACGACATTGTCGAAGTCTTGAAATCGAAGTCATCGAGCAAGTCCGTTTGTCTTCATAGTGGGACCATTTCAAAGGCATCCTGAGCCACTGGTCCCCCATTTTAAAATGAATGCTGGACTTTGAAAATGAATGAATAAAAACGGTCTAGAGAAAGTCCGCCACTTTTTTTCACGAATAGTTGTTTGAAATAATCTCATTCCTGCTGTTAATATCTGGAACTGCACTCGAAGTTCCTGAATCGTTTACTCGCATCGATGATTTGTTTATGGGTTTGTGCTCAATCGATGCCCAGCCGTTTGCTTTCATCTTTCATGTCAAACGATCACTTGTTTGAAGAAATGTACGTTTTCTTTCTACAGCGTACACGCTAGGAAAACAGCTATGCTTTTTGTAAACCCAGAAGACTGATTAAATAAGATTCGAAACGTGGCATTCTCGTTGTATAGTCAAATTATTCCGTGATATAATTTTTATGCGATTTCATCCAGATTTGTATTTTTTCTACTGCTGAATTACACCCTCCACCATAAAAGATTCTTTACTTTGAAAACATGTCTTCAGTAATATATAAACCATTGTTATTCATTCGTTTGAATTTATCGTTTGAAATATTAGATTTAAATTATTAAAAAATTTAACTTATTTTATCGCTGAGGTATGAAAAGCGTTGTTGCTTACGCTACGCTTTTAGAGCTGCCACTGAAGTCAGCCGTAGGCACAGACGCCCCGAATAACGACGAAAGGTATGTTGAAATGTTATGTACTTAGAGACTTGCTGATTTAAGGTTAGGTAATGAAGTAGCGTGGTGGCTTTTCAGCTAAACTATATTCATTATTCTTTAGCGTAGCCGAAGATGGTTAAGGCAATTTTAGGGCAAACAGTTTTAGTCACGTTTAGTTTAGTAGTGAGCATCAATGAAAGTTTCTCGTAAAGGGCAGGAAAGTTTGAAACCGTTTTTTTCATGATGGGGCTGGTTCTAACGCCCTGGCTTTCATGAATTTAATTGTCGGGCGCTGAGTCTCATTTTCATGCCATCGGCCAGAACTGTTTTATTTTTTTAAGGGCACAGTCTGCAACTATGTAATCATCTATTTCTTTCTCACAGAATGGTACTCATTTATCAGCTTCAGTGACTCTGACTTGGGCTCGAACCCGGTACCTCTCGATTCCGAGTCTGACGTTCTGCCGACTGAGCAGCCTCGAATGAATCTCATTTCTTTAAATTTTTTGCACTTAAATGCACTGCAATAAACATCACCGAAATGTCCATGTGTATCCTTAATTAAAGATCAACCACTACAAATATGATTGATATGTTATCATGCTGATGTGATGTGTTAGAGTGTAGAGGCCTTCATCGAAGTAATATCGCCCCCCCCCCTGCACAATTAACTGTAGTTTTCAGAACAGTGCGTGCTGCTCTGTTTCCTGTTTTTACTTCAATTAACTAAGGTTTTCAGAAGCTTCTCAACTCAACTTCAGAAAGCAAAACTCAAAATATTTACACAGATCTGCGTCTTTTTGTGTATAAAAAGTTATACATTTTGAACGGCAAGATTAATACCTTTACGACATTCGAAGTGTCTCTCAAGCATGTTCTCTTTTACCAAACTTCGAAAAAAGTGCTTTACTGCATTTCAAATTTTTTCGACTTTCAGCTTTCAGTTTGGTATTCATATGTCAGTCTCGAACACGTTTTCATTATTACCGACAGTAAGCGAATTTGATCCACCTTCACCCGTTAGTCATACCCCGTTCTTATGTGTTTGCAGTATGTATTGCCAGTAGTTCATTAACATCTTTTAAGGGTTGTTGATGTTAGTTTTATTGACAGAGGCAAACAAAATGAGATTTTAAAACACCGTTATTAATGCAAAGTTATACAGTGTAATATAATATAAATGGTACGAGAAACTTTGAATTTGGCTCTGTGGTCTTCTTCATGAACTTATCAACAGTTCCTTGAACAAGTGGTTTCTTTTTTCTGTTCATAAACCACTTGATGAATGGCTAAGGCGTCCTCAGTTTCTTTCTGGACTTTTAAGAGCCGCCGGGCATTCGGATATAATTTCTCCAGCCGTGTCATTCCTGCTGAAATCCCACTTAACGTGATTGATTGTAATATCTTTCGTCACAAAATGTTTTGGTTTTATTTTATTTCCGAAGCCGCAGCTTCAGCAATTTTTACTACTTGTAATTCGATTATTTCTTCATTTAATAATTCATCCCATATGGCTTAGTTACTTCTTCTATATCATGCTCATGTCATGTCCCGTTGTACGGGTATAATCCTTTACAGTCAGTGTTCGTGGCATTAGACAGAGATCACGTTCTATGCATGTTAAGTTTGATTCGCTCTCATATTTCATTTTGATCTCTTGACCAGTTTTAGTGCGTTTACACATGGTTTCATTTTTTTTCACTTCTTTTCCTTTTTGAATCATCGTTGTACTCTACCACCGCGTATGCATGCACTAATGCTTGTTTAAGTATAAAAGTGCAAATACACAATACATCTGTGCTCACTAGTAAACAAAGCGAGAGTAAGGATAGTTTACCCATTGTATAAACTATCTGCTTACGGAACACCTCTCTTTGGTGGCGTGTAAGTGACGTAGGCGCATTGAATGAAATTTTACAGCTCGACATAATTTTCCATAATCGTTTCAGGATAAGTTGCGTAATTTAATAAGTTTCAATTTACGTAAGTCCGGGCCTAGCTGTATTTGTTTCGAAGGCTTTGCGGCTGTATAGCTCAAAATATTGATCTTTCGCTTT